AATTATGGTGTTGGAGGAGAATATTGAAAGTGCCATGGGCTGCCAAAAGAACCAATAGATCTGTTTTGGAAGAAGTGCAGCCAGAGCGTTCCATGGAGGCCAAGATGGCGAAACTTCATCGCTCATACTTTGGACATATTATCAGGAGGGAACAGTCACTGGAGAAGGATATCATGTTTGGTAAGATGGAGAGTGAGAGAAAAAGAGGAAGACCCCCCAATGAGATGGATTGGCCAGGTGGCAGCATCAATGGATTCAAGTGTGGCAACAGTAGTGAGGTTGGCCCAGGATCAGACACTATTTTGTTCTGCTGTGCATATGGTCGCTATGAGTTGGTGCTGACTCGATGGCACCAACCAACAACAAGTGTATAATTACTGAAATTAAAGTTGTGCAGCCATCACTTAAACTAGTAACTCTACTAGTATCTTTTGTAGAACCAGATAAGTCAACTCTAAAATTCATCTGAAAGATTAAAATTCAAAAAGTAGCCAAGACAATTCTAAAAAAGAAAACAAGAATAACTTGCCTGTAGTGGACAAAACCATGTTTTAAAACTGTAACAATTCTGATACTGTAGTTTCCACATGTTGTTGTTGTTGTTGTTAAATGCCATCAAGTTGTTTCCGACTCCTATCTATCCTGTTTAGCCTTTTCAAGGAAGGGCTGGTGGGTTTGAACCGCTGACCGTGTGATTAATAGTTCAGTGCTTATCCTACAGGGCCACACCAGGACTGCAGTTTCAGCATAAGTTTTAACATAAGTAGATAAATATAAGGGCTTTTTGAAAATGTCATGGAAAAAGGGAATTAAAAGAAAACAGAAAACTTTCACAAATGTTTTGAAACCCCTCGATCAATAAACAAAATATCCCAGGAATAGACCTGCTATAATAACTTTGTATACAACAAAAATTTCATTAAAATCAATTAATAAGGGACAGACCTTTCAATAAAAGGCATTAGGCATCTGACTTTTCATATGGAAAATCAAAGTTAGATGAAATCACATGCACAAATGTCTAAGAACATTAAAGGACTAGACTATAATGCAATTAAATTGTTACAATATAAGAATATCTTAATCTCAGAATAAGAAAAGTGTTTGTTTGTTTGTTTTAAGATACAAAAAGCAGAAACAAAATGGGTATGATTCATTTCATCAAAAGAAATGTCTATGCCAAAAATAACATGAAGTTTTTTTAAAGTAACATACTGAAAGTACACTTGTATTATACATTCCCTACAAAAGTATCCAAAAATACATAAAGATTGTCTAAAATTAGCAAGAAAAACCATAAACAATCCAACAAAAACATAAGAAATATAAAAAAATAATTTCTACTTCCTTGGTATTCAAAGGAATGCAAATAAACGCTACAAAAAGATATTACTACAAGCAAAGTTTAACAAACGATGGATAGGACATATAACAAAAGAACGCTGTACTTTAGGGAACAGGAACACTTTGGAAACAAACTGAGGATATATGAATTCTACATAAAACCCATCAATTCCGCTTCCAATAGCCCAGGAGAAATTGCTTCACATTAACTTCTAAAGGGACATACAAGGGATGCAAAAGTTGGAACTAACCAAAAATATCCATTAGACTTGTTGTTGTTGTTGTTAAGTGCCGTCGAGTCGGTTCCGACCCATAGCGACCCTGTACAGGGTTTCCGAGGGTGTAAATCCTTACAGGAGTAGAAAGCCTCATCTTTCTCCCGCGGAGCGGCTGGTAGTTTCGAACCGCTGACCTTAAGGTTCGCAGCCCGATTCGTAACCACTACACTACCAGAGCTCCTTTAGACTAGTTAGTATATAATATTAATAATATTAAATACTATACAACCGTTACATTCTTTGATGTTTCAAACAACTTATGAAATGGTATAAGCAGTACGACAGTGTTTATGTAAATTTCAGAAACACAACAGTATATTTTATTCATAAATATGAGTAAAAATCTACAACATGGACTAGGAGGATACACTACAAACTGACGATAATGCCTGCTACTGGGGACAGAGGGAGGAGGAAGAATGGCACTGAAGGCAGCAGCAAGGCTGACTGAACTGCAACTTTAAACTTATAGTATTGTATTTCCTTCAAGTATGTTTTAATACATCATGTAAAAACAAAACATAGATGTCTTAAATCTGGGCTGATGGGTAAACAGCGGTATTCTCTGTAACATAATGCATGAAGAATTAACTTGATAAAATAAAAACTGTTTAAGTTCCAATGAAACTTAGCACCTCACCTGTAATGAAATTTTCATTCCTGATGCCCTTGTTAGAAAATATGTCATTTTTTAAAGAAAATTGAAACCCATATAAAAAAAAAAAAAAAAAAAAAAAGGCAAGCCATGTAGTTAGGTATTCATGTTTTACATACTGATTTTAAGGGAAAAAAAATAGTTAAGTGTGGTGGTTGTGAGTCAGAGTTAGTTCAGACTCATAGCAACCCTGTATAGGGTTCTGTAGCTCTAACTCTTTAAAGAGCTCTGGTAGCGTAGTGGTTACGAATCGGGCTGCTAACCTCACGGTGAGCAGTTCAAAACTACCAGCGGCTCTGCGAGAGAAAGAGGAGCCTTTCTGCTTCCATAAAGATTTACAGCCTCGGAAACCCTGTACAGGGTTGCTATCTCCACAGCACATAACCACCAAGTCTTTACAGGAGTAGAAAGTATGCTCTTTCTCCTGACCTTCGAACTGCTGACCTCTCAGTCAGTAGTCCAACTTGCAAACCACCATGCTACCTTGTAGCCTACTAATATTAAAATAGAAGTTATTTAAAAATAACTAGTCAGAAGAATTTAATTTGATTTATACCAAAGCACTCAACTTAACTGTAAGTAATCATTTGTATGACCATTTGTTTAATGTCTTGCTGAGGGCAAGGACCACAGCTGTTGCCCCTTCTCTCCTTTACCATAGTGACTAGCACAGAGTCTGACATATAGTACACAGGGAGGTTAAATGAGTATCCCTCCTTTGATTACATTTCCAAACAAATCACACATACCAATGGCATTGTTCACTGTATATTCTTCTCTGAAGAAATCTTGAGCTAGCTTCTGTTTTGTCTTTCCAGCATTTGAGACCTCTACAAATGAAAAAAAGGCACAATTCAAATAAAGACACTTCCCAGTAAATATAGTCAAACACTAATGAATTAAAAGTACTATAATATTAACAAGGGTCCTGGGTGTGGCACTGTAAGATAAGCATTGGACCACTAACTGAAAGGTGGGTGGTTTGAACCCAACTGCTGCTCCTCGGAACCCTATACAGGGTCACCATGAGTCAGAACCGACTCAATGGCACTTAACACCAAAACAACGTGATGTTCAGTAACCAAAGGGAAACTCTAGAATGGCTTATTATTAAAGTATCTGTGCCACAGACTTGAGAAGAGATCTATAGTCCAATGTGAAAGCCTCAAGTTCTTATTAAGAACTTCTTACAAAGCATTATACTTTAATTAAAAATCATAAGCTGCTACAAACTGCATTTCCTTTTGACTGTTTTGTCTAGGATCTTAATAAAAATGTGCTGGACAGACTTTTCCTTTAGAAGTTCATCTGTTACAATAAAATACAGTATATTCCATCTAATTTAATGTTTCTGCCATAATCACTTCACCATGAAACATTTAATGAGCATCTACTCTGTACCACACATGATTTTATGTGCTGAAGATAGTAAGACAGCAATTTAAGATGCTGCCCTGGATTTCAAAATAATGGGAAGACACACTACCACTACCATATACTCTGTACTATGTCCAAAATAAGGAGGGGTTGTTGCTGTGAAGTGCCGTCGAGTCGGTTCTGACCCATAGCAATCCTGTATAGGGTTACTGTAGGAGAGTAGTAAATAAAGGCTGCCCAGAAGAGGTAAGACTGACCCAAGTTTGAACAGATGGGTAAGGATTTCCTACAAGCTGGCAGGGAAAGTTCTAACTAGAGGATGCAGTATCTATAAAGATACTTTGGCAAGAAAGAACAGACTAATATCAAGAAACAGCAAATATTTTTATAAAAGCTTAAGGGAATAGTAAAAGGAGAGGTTAGAGAGGTAATAAACAAAATAGTATGTAACATTCGAAATCCAGTGGCACTTCAGAAAGCCACCAAAACTTTACGGAGCATGTCTACTCTGTCACGAATAGTAAGAATGGCAACTTGTTTGTTTTATTTTTATTTATTAATAATATCAATGGAAATGTAACTTCTCAAAGCCATTGCTACAGCATACCTAAGCTGACCTGGCAAATATATGATTAATTTGCTGAATAACAAACACTATTTGGTGGTTTTATTCTTATTGCAATCTCCCATTATCCAAAGTCCACATTTCAAGACTGCTACCAAAAGTTTCTCTTCTGTATACTGCAAGGTCATATAAGTAAATCTTCAATGACTTTCAGTCCCAGGAGAATTTTCTACTGAAATATTAATCAAACATAATACAGAAAGGGCTTCAAAAAGTTTGTGGACAAATGGAATTTATCCATGAACTTTTAAAAGCCCCCTTACACACATCTTTTCTTTACAAGATAGAGTTACAGAGAAATCCTGACTATCTCAATTTTTAAATGAATTCTGCAGAATTCTGATCTGTCTTTTTGAAAATGCTCCAAATAGTGACTGATTTTTCAAGTTTTTAAAAGAAAAATCTAACATCTACTTTCCTCATTCCCTGGTTTTTGCTGACACATGCCAGGAATATCATCAATATTTACCAAATCTAAATGGAAAGGAGAACAAGTAGTACTTACTGCCTTTGAATTGAAGTTGGTGTTTTCAACCTCCAAACCTTCCTAGATGTGTGTTATTTTCTTTTCAATTAGTTAAAGCAATGCAATCTCACATAAATTAAATGACATTCATAATACCGATTGATGTTTTCCCGAGTGCCTACTTATTGCCTTGAACTTAGACCTTGAAATTTCTTTGAAGTGGAATCAATTTCTTTATAGACTTGAACTAGAATAAATCAAAACTTAGAACTGCATTTTTAAGAACAGTATAGAGTTAGGCCTATATGAACAACAACAACATATGAAGAAAACAGCTCACAGTTAGAAGCAGCTAAACCCTAATAAGCATAAGGCTCTGTCTCTATGTAAACTAACCTGACCCTTTGAGACCCAACATAGGAGAAAAGATCAATCCACTGCAGAAAACCAGGTTTTAAAATATTCTAGTAAGCAAAACAATTGGGTTAAATCAGTCTATGCAATCAAAGATAATACTAAGCTGCAAATTTTAACTCAGCTGTTTTTGATTTAACTCAGACAACTTCAATTAATGTGAAATTAGCCTGAATTCCAATACTATGTTTTAGATAAACTTGTAAATTGGGTGAACAAATTCAAAACAAAGATTGCTGTAGTAACACAATACAAAAACAAATGAGCAAATACAAAATAAAAATATAAAGAAAAAAATTATCCCTGGACCTAACCATTAAGATACAAAGTGTGAACAGTTTTCAGTATATATAAAACACTGACAATCAGTAGTGATAATAAGCACATTGACCTGAATTCTGAAAACAAACATTTTTCTTTTTAATAGCTAAACTTGTAAAGACAAATTTCCAAATTTAAATAAGTGAGAACTAATCTTTTTATACTGTTATAACACTACTATCCTCAAAAAGTTATTAAAGAATTAGAGTCCAATCCCTAACGTTTAAAACTATTCCTTGTAATACAGGATTTCAAAAATGAATATGCTAAGGAGCAAAGGAGTCTTAGTGGTGCATTAGGCTGTCGGCTGCTAACTGCAAGGTTGGCAGTTCAAACCCCCCAGATGCTGCCTAGACAATAAACAGGCCATCTGCTCCTATAAAGACAGCTTTGGAAACACCAAAGAGCAGTGGTTCTTCTCAGTCCCTTCCTATAGAGTTGCTATGAGTTGGCATGTTGGGTTTTGGTTTTTGATGTTAAGCATCAAAGACAGAAAGGTAATTAGATCATACTCCTTACCTCAAGGAGATTTTGGCATATGTAAGAATATAAAAATGCACAGAGGTGTTGCACTTTAACTCTCTTTGGGAGTGGAAAGTTGGGGTATCTAAGAAGACATGAGTTGAATCATACAGGGTAACAGAGTGTTCAACAACAGAGTGGAAAAAAATTACAAAGGAAAAACATTCACAAATCATGAAAATATAAGAGAACAAATCATATTCAGAAAATGCCAAGTCATTCAATGTAATATGAGTGTAGAGTTAAATGACAAACTGCTAAGTATCAGCTTTTCTAACATAAAATTCAATTAACTTACATATTATAACTTGACATTTTGTTAAGGATAATTCAGGAAGGAAACAAGATAGCTGAATCTCAGATGTAGGTTTTTTGTTTTTGTTTAACTTTTTATAGTGAATTGACTGAAAGCTTACAGTTCATCAGTTTTATATTCAACAAATAATATACTTTGTTTCCTTATCAGTGATTGTAATCCCCTCCATGATACAAGTTACCTTATTCCCTTCATTTTTCAAATATTAACTACAAAAGATAAATCTTTAAATTTCCTCTTTATTCTGCATTAACTAAGCAATGTATTAACTTAATAGCAAAACATTTCTAACAAGTAAAACATATTACAAAGTACCACAAAAATATGCTATGCTAATACTTTGTCAGTTCTACTGGAAAAAATAAAAATTAAAAACATTTGATTGAGAAGGAATTTTTTTTTTTTTTTACCTCTGATATCACCACCAGCACAGAATGCTTTTCCTCCAACTCCCTTTATAATGATCATGAAAGTTTCAGGATCTTGTTCCCACTTCTATCCAAATGTAAAAGAAGATGACATAAGCATAGTACAAACTTTTGTTGTTCACTACCATCAAAGCAAGTGCCAATTCACAGCAAATCCATGTGAAATAAAATTGGAAATCTACGGCCAGGCGTTTCTCTCCATATTATAAATGCAAAT